TTTTCTTTGTCCAGAGACTTCTTGTTACACTTCCATCTCACTACTTTTTATTGGTCCATTCAGGTTTTCTTTGTTGTTCAATCCTGGTCAGTTACAGGTGTAGAAATTTGTCCTCCTCTTCAAAGTTTGCCAATTTGTTGGTGTGTAGTCATTCATAATAGTCTGTAATGGCTCTTTATACTTCTGTGGTGTCATTTGTAATGTCTCCTTTTCCATCTCTGCTTTTATTTATTCAAGTCTGCTTTCTGGTTTTACTCTAGCTAAAGATGTATGTTTTATCTTTTCAAAAAACCAAATTTTTTACTTCATTAATCTTTTCTATTTTAGTTTCCTATTTTATTTATTTCTGCTCTGATGTTTCTTTCTTTCCTCCTAGCTTTGAGCTTGGTTGTATCTTGCTTTCTAGGTCCTTAAGTTGTAGTTAGGTTGTGGTGTGTGTGTCTGTGTGTGTGTGTGTAGGTGCTTACTGTTATAAACTTTTCATTAGAATTGCTAGAATTGCTTCCGCTATGTCATAAGTTTCAGGTTATTGTGTTTCTATTTTCATAAGATTCAAAGAATTTTTAAATTTTCCTTATTTTTCAAGGACCCGTTTTTCATTCAGAAGCAAGTTTTCATTTCCATTATTTGGATAACTTCTAGAGTTATTTTCTCTTTGGCTGACCATTTCTAATTTTACTCCATTGTGGTCAGAGAGGATAATGTGATGATTTTGATTTTTTTTTTAATTTGCTGGGATTTGCTTTTTGTTTTTGTTTTTGTTGTTTGTTTTTTTTTTTTTTTTAGTCATTAAAATTAGGAAGATTTATTTTTTTAACTTTTATTTGAGGAAAATAAATTTGCAAAGTACAGCTTATAGATTACAATGGCTTCCCCCCCATAACTTCCCTCCCACCCGCAACCCTCCCCTTTCCCTCTCCCTCCCCCCTTCCATTCACATCAAGATTCATTTTCTATTCTCTTTATATACAGAAGATCAGTTCAGAATATATTAAGTAAAGATTTCAACAGTTTGCACCCACATAGAATAACAAAATGTAAAATACTGTTTGAGTACTAGTTATAGCATTAACTCACAATGTACAGCACTTTAAGGACAGAGATCCTACATGAGGGGTAAGTGCACAGTGACTCCTGTTGTTGACTTAACAAATTGACACTCTTGTTTATGGCATCAGTAATCACCCTAGGCTCTTGTCATGAGTCACCAAGGCTATGGAACCTTTTGAGTTCACCAACTCTGATCATATTCCGACAGGGTCATAGTCAAAGTGAAGGTTCTCTCCTCCCTTCAGAGAAAGGTACCTCCTTCTTTTCACTGGGATCTCACTCGTGGAGATCTTTCATGTAGGGTTTTTTATTTTTTTTTTTAGCCAGAGTGTTTTGTGCCGCTCCCCGTCTTCGTGGGGGAACGACACTAAACCCTGCCTAGGCTTCATATCCGAGTCACGGCACCATTATGTCGCTCCCCCTCTTCGTGGAGGAACGACACTAAACCCTGCATAGGTTTCCTATCCGAGTCACGGCACCATTATGTCGCTCCCCGTCTTCGTGGAGGAACGACACAGGACCCTACGCTGTTCTTTCGTCTGCTCGGCCCTCCCCGGGTTTGCTGCTGGTTCTTCCCGGGTTGGCTGCTGGTCCTTCCCGGGTTGGCTGCTGGTCCTTCCCGGGTTGGCTACTGGTCCTTTCCACCTCCGTGGAAGGGCGGTTCCCCCTGCCACATTCCCCACTTCCGCGGGGGAGTGGCACACCGCCGGCCGGCTCTCTCGGGGGCTGCACAGGTGTTCCTTCAGATAGATGTTCCTCTTAGATGTTCCTGGTGCATGCCGTCTCTCTCCTCCTTTATAGTCCTCCTCCGCCAATCCTAACTCGGCTGCCCACACGCCGAGTACGCTGCTCTCCTCCAATCAGGAGCAGGTCCTGCAGCTTGTCAAGTTGGTGAGAGGCAGCTGGGTAGAAGCTGTTGCCTCCTCTCCCAGCGCCATATTGTGGGAGAGCAGATGCATAGAATAAGTCTTAATTCCAGTAACTCAGTCCAGTCCGGGTTGCTCCCAACAGTTTTGGCTTTCCATGCCTGTAATACTCTCATGGGATTTTCAGCCAGATCCAAATGCCTTAAGGGCTGATTCTGAGGCCAGAGTGCCCTTCAGGACATCTGCCATTCTATGGATCTGCTGTGTATCTCACTTCCCATGTTGGAATGCTCTCTCCCTTTTTTATTCTATCAGCTAGTATTTGCAGACACTAGTCTTGTTTATGTGCTCCCTTTGGCTCTTAGTCCTATCATTATGATCAATTGTGAACAGAAATTGATCACCAGGACTAGTGAGATGGCCTATCCTAAAGACTACTCTATGTGCTGGTGGAAAGAAAATGTATCCTGCTGTGGTTGGATGTAATGTTCTATTTTGATAAGACTCATTTGGTCTATGGTACAATTTAATTTGATGCTTGTTTTCCAGTGATCTGTACGCTGACAAAAGTAGGGTGTTTTAGTCCACTCAAAGCCATCGCAGGCTCAGAAAGATCCACAGTACAACTGGGCAGGAGTATGGGATGAACATGCAGCACTGCTCACACCCACCAAAGCCAGAGCTTGCACTGCCCTGGCGGGGTCAAAGTTGAGGAAGTAGGGGAGATGGTCCTCATTCCGCAGAGGTGATCACTCCTTCTTAAGGTTTTGGGAATAGGACCCACTTTGCTGTGCAGAACTACCTGACCAGTGTAGTGCAGGACACCGCTTAGGCTAAAATGTTGGGGTCACAGTTGCTGCTGGGTCTAGCTAGGTTTATGAGGCTGTGGTCCTCTTGCCTGTACAGTGGAGTGACTGTGGATCCCCAGGGATGAGTATATACAGGGGTTTCTATCTCCTACAGCAGTACAGATTCCAACTGTGGCTCCTTTCTCAAGATGATGTCAGGGAGCAAGCATTTGGTACCAGTTGGATTCTCAAATTCCCAGCAAGACTGAAAAGCATAAACATTACAGACCTCTGAGCTGAAAGCTGGCATGTCGGGGCAGCCAGTCTTCCTTTCCCACCCATCTGATGTGAACTGATGCTGGGGAAATATGTTCCTGACAATCCTCTACACCCAGCATCTCCCAAAGCACCCTGCAGGCCATGCTGCCTTGCTCAGGGGCACGGCCAAGGAGCACAAATCTGTTCTCCCTCCTGTGTGCAGGGACCCATGGGGGCTGAGGCTCTGTCCTGAGGACTGGCAAGAAGACAGGCATGGGATTGGGCCAGCTAACACCTGTGGTGGCTCCGGTGATAGGCCGGCTAACACTCATGGCACCTCCAGTGATGGAAAGCACAGGAACCATTCCCACTGGATGGACTGGAAACCTGAAGAGTGGGAGGCACATGCTATTGCCTCGTTCAGTGTTTGAGCAGGGACAGCATTGTGGTGCAGCAGGTTAAACTGCTGCCTGCCACCTGGTATCTCATTTCAGCACCAATAAAGTCCAGGCTGCTCTGTTTCTGATCCAGCTCCTTGCCAGTGCACCTGGGAAAGCAGTGGAAGATGGCCTGAATACCCAGGCCCATGGCACACACATGGGAGACCAGGATGGACTTCCAGGCTCCTGGCTCTGGACTGATGCAGCCCAGCCATTGCGGCCTTTTGGGCAGTGAACCAGCAGACAGATACAGGCATGCCAAATGCCACTAACACCCACCTCAAAAGATGAGTGTTCTTAATAGAAATGGGAACACCCTAAATTCTGCCTCTTTTGTGTTTATGAGAAGACTGATATTGAAAATGGGCTTGATTTCTTGAGCACATGAAAAAAAATTAATATTTATTTATTTTATTCAAAAGGCAGAGTTACAGAAAGAGAAGCAGCGACAGATCTTCCATCCACTGATTCACTCCCCAAATGCCTGCAATAGGTGGAGATGGGCTAATCCAAAGCCAGGAGCTAGGCACTTCTTCTGGGTCTCCAACATGGGTGCATGAGCCTGAGCATTTAGGCCATCCACCGCTGATTTCCCAGGCCATTAGCAGGAAGCTGCATCAGAAGTGGAGCAGCCAGGACTCGAACCAGCACCCAATGGGATGTCAGTACTGCTGACAGAGACTTAACCTACCACGCAACATTGCCGCCCCCTCATGCATTTTTTTTCTTCCCTCCCACAACATCCCTCCCACCCGCAACCCTCCCCTTTCCCACTCCCTCTCCCCTTCCATTCACATCAAGATTCATTTTCGATTCTCTTTGTCTACAGAAGATCAGTTTAGCATACATTAAGTAAAGATTTCAACAGTTTGCTCCCACACAGAAACATAAAGTGAAAAATAAGATGATTTTTTAAATGATGATGAAATCAGATCAGACCTATTGTCATGTTTAATCCCAGTGAGAGTCAAGTTGGGAATTGCTAATTTCTTCTTTTTTTTTTAACAGAAGATCAGTTTAGTATACATTAAGTAAAGATTTCAACAGTTTGCACCCCCATAGAAACACAAAGTGGAAAAAAAAAAAAGAAACACAAAGTGAAATATATTGTTTGTGTACTCGTTATAGCATTAAATCTCAATACACAGCACATTAAGGACAGAGAACCTACATGAGGAGTAAGTGCACAGTGACTCCTGTTGTTAACAAATTGACACTCCTGTTTATGGCATCAGTAATCTCCCTATGCACCAGTCATGAGTTTTCAAGGCTATGGAAGCCCCTTGAGTTATCCGATTCTTATCTTGTTTAGACAAGGTCATAGTCAAAGTGGAGGTTCTCTCCTCCCTTCAGAGAAAGGTACCTCCTTCTTTGATTACCTGTTCTTTCCACTGGGATCTCACTCACAGAGATCTTTTGCCAGAGTGTCTTGGCTTTCCATGCCTGAAATACTCTCATGGGCTTTTCAGCTAGATCCGAATGGCTTTAGGGCTGATTCTGAGGCCAGAGTGCTATTTAGGACATCTGCCATTCTATGAGTCTGCTGAGTATCTCACTTCCCATGTTGGATCACTCTCCCCTTAATTTATTCTATCGGTTAGTGTTAGCAGGTACTAGACTTGTTTATGTGCTCCCTTTGACTCTTAGTCCTTTCATTATGATCAATTGTGAACTGAAATTGATCACTTGGACTAGTGAGATGGCATTGGTACATGCCACCTTGATGGGATTGAATTGGAATCCCCTGGTATGTTTCTAACTCTACCATTTGGGGCAAGTCAGCTTGAGCATGTCCCAAATTGTACATCTCTTCCCTCTCTTATTCCCACTCTTATGTTTAACAGGGATCACATTTCAGTTAATTTTCAACACTTAAGAATAACTGTGTATTAATTACAGAATTAAACCAGTCATATGGACAATGGGTCCAATAGTTACTGTAGGACAAAGGCAAAGAAGGAAAAATGTGTGAACAGATGGTAACTAAAGGGGCTCTCTCCAACACTGAGGCCTGAGTGGGGAGAGAAGAGATGAGTGAAATGCACCACACTTCCAATGTAGTTAAGGTTAGTGACCATGAGTGACCTTTTATTAAAGAAAGGTGGAAAGTAGAGTAGTGATTTTTAAGAGCTCCAACCTGGGGCCTGCACAGTGACACAGTGACACAGTGACACAGCAAGTTAAAGCCCCAGCCTACAGCATTAGCTTCCCATATGTTGAGAGGAACGGTTGTGGAAAAAGAAGCCCAAAAGACATGGAGGTGATGATAGATGCCTTCACATGCTGTGATCTGAGGACTGATTCTGGACTTCTTGGTGCTGTCCATTTCAGTTCTAGGAGCACAAGGATGGCAAGGGCAGTGAGATTAGCTAATTCTGTTGACAATTCTCTGCAGAGCTCTCTTGATGTCCCTGTTCCTCAGGCAGTAGATGAAGGGGTTCAACATAGGGGTGACCAAGGTGTACATCAGTGAGGCCACAGCACTCTCTCTGGAAGAGGTGGAGAAGGATGCACTGAGATATATGCCTAAACCTGAACCGTAAAATAAGCAAACGACCAACAGGTGCGAGCCACAGGTGGAGAAGGCTTTGTACTTCCCATCTGGGGATGGGACTCTCAGAATGGAGGACACGATTTTATAGTAAGAGAAGAGGATCCCTGAGATAGGGAAAAACCCAAATACAATACCAATAAGATACATGACTATGTCATGGTTGAAGGTGTTATCACATGTAAGATTGAGAAGCTGAGAAGGGTCACAAAAGAAATTAGAAATTTCAGCTGCCTTGTAGCAGGTAACTGGTAATAATATCAAGTTGTGCACCAGGGATTCCAAAAGGCTGCTGAAAAAAGACACTGTAACCAAGAAAGCACAGCGGCAGGGGTTCATGATGACCTGGTAATGCAATGGATGACAAATGGCGACAAACCGGTCATAGGCCATCACAGTCAGAATCAAATCATCCATGCATCCACAGATGAGAAAGAGAGACATCTGTGTCAGGCAGCCCACATAGGAGATGACTGTGCTGTGAGTGTGGATGTCCACAATCATCTTGGGAACCGTGGTGGAGGTAAAACCCATGTCAGCCAAGGACAGGTTGCAGAGGAAGAAGTACATGGGGGTGTGCAGGTGGGTGTCAGAGATGATGAGCAGGATGATGAGCAGGTTCCCGAGCACCGTGACCAGGTACATGGACAGGAACAGCACTGACAGGAGGTACTGCAGGGCTGGATCCTCTGAGAAGCCCACGAGATGGAATTCTGGGACACACGTCCGATTTTGTGTTTCAACAGAGCCTATGCTCCTTCTGGAAAAAGAGATAGGGATGGAAAAAGGATACATGGGCACACAGTGCTTGCTTAGTTTTTTTTTTTGTCTATAGTTTTAATTCAGCTAGTCAAGGGTATAACATAAGGGCAATTCTAAGGTCCATAGAATAAATAAAATTAAAAGAACTGTCATTGGAGCAATCGAAAAATGTTAGGAAATCCAGAACACTAGACCTACCAAGTCCATGAACACAGTCAAATGCAACCTAGACGTTTAATAACAAATGCAAAATGCCCTTTTGCCTTCAAAGATAATATTCTAAATAAGGGTAATTAAGAAGCAGTTAAATATACCTTATTTTAGCAATGGTACAAATTCCATTGACTTAAGTGCACTCTAAATGCTAGGACTGTGTTATGTCAACACTAACTTAATGTTGATCGTTCATGATAGGAAAATACTGTTGTGTGTTCTTTATTTTTCAGAGGTTTCATCATTCTCAGGTTTTCTGGTTTCCCTTCTGTATCTCCTTTTTGTTTGATAGGGAGACACACAGACAGGGAAGGAGGGAGGGAAGAAGGGAAAGAGAGAGAGCCAGCCAGCCAGCCAGCCCATTGATTCACTCCCAAATGCTTACAGTGTCTTGTATGGACTACTGCAGAAGCTGGGAGTTGGAATTTTTTTAACTTTATCTAATAAATATAAATTTCCAAAGCACAGATTTTGGAATACAGTGGCTTCCCCCCAATAACTTCCCCCCCACTCGCAACCCTGGGAGCTGAAACTTGATCCGGGTCTCCTACATGGGTAGCAGTCACCCAAGTACTTGAGTCATCACCACTGCCTCCCACAGTCTGGAAGGAAGCCGAGTCATGAATGATAGCCTGAAATCAAACTCAGACACTCCTAAGTAGGAGGGAGGATCTTAACCATGTTGTGTGCCCACTCCTGTCTGTCTGCTGTGTGATCCATAACTTCTATCCTGGTCATTGGTGGGGGTCAAATTTTGATAAATGTGGTTTAATTAAGTGCACATAATCATACAAAAGCAATGACCACAAATGTAACTTTAGTGTTTTCTACACCTGTCAGGGATCAGAAATAAGGATTTTTATAAGAAATGTCTGAATTTTCAAAAGCTTAAACAGGTAATTTTTGTATTTGCCTCAAGATCTCAGTAAATTATCTTGTGTTTGAGAGGTGTACCTTATTTAAATATTTTCAAAATTTTCCTTTTTTCATAGCAACTTAGTAATGCTGCTTTACAATTTTATGATCATAAACCCTCTTATTTGCAGTTGAAGTGTTTGCTATCAAAGAGGGTCCAAAGTTAACTTTGAGTTCCAATCTTCCTATGCCTAAAGAAAATATTGTAGTATTAACCTTTCCTTATCCATGGGTTGCAATTCTCTGTCTGCCCTAAGACAACTGTAGTTCATTATGGTAGCAGGAGAAGCTATGATTGAACTGAGAAAAAAATGCAAAACAGAATTCCAGGAAATAATGCAAGCATACTTTTGCAGATTCTTCATCCATGAAATGGATGTTTGCCCTATAAGACTGTTGCAAGGAAATTCTTAATTCTTTTTATCTTTCTTTATTCTTTTTTTTCCATATTTGAAACAGAGGTATCTTCCATCTACTGGTTCACTCCTCAAATGCCCACAAGAGCTCAGGCTGAGGCTGGAGCCCAGAATTCCATCCAGATCTCCTATGTGATATCAGAAACCTGAGTAACTGAGCCATCACCTGCTGTCTGTCATGCATGTTAGTAGAAAGCTTGGTCAGAAGCAGAGTAACTGGGACTCGACCCAGGTACTCCTCTATGGGATGTGAATTTCCCAAGCTGAGACACAACCAACTGCGCCACAATGCATGCTCCTTCATGTGAGCATTAGTTTGTGCATCTCTAAGTAGATTTCTTTAAAACTCACCTGAAAGGTACGTGAATGTGTCTAGTATACACACCTACTGCCCCTGAAACAGACTAGGGTGCACTGAAGCTGGGTTTTCAGCCCCTCTGGGATGTACATTCACTTCAAGCATTTCATCTGCTTCACATCTTTACCTGGGAGGGGGACATCATCTAATTTGTACGTGCATTGTTATGACAAGCTTTTGAAATCTTTGTCCATCTCTTCATATCACACAAGTGAGGATTTCTGGTTGAGTAGCAAAATTGGATGCACATGTAGTTTTGCCCAACACCTGTTTGCTATCCCAATAAAAACAATCAAATATATCTTTGATATACCAAATATATACTAACTATATATTTGATATACCATCTATATATATACATCAACTATATATTTGATGTATCATCAAATGTTTCTCTGTGTAATATCTAGTAGTAATCCTTTCCTAATAAGAAATTTCAAGTTGTGTGGGAATGTTATTTCTACTTGGCATAATAATATTTCTGCTTGATGTATGGAAGGAGTCAGGAAATCAGCATCATTCACCTACAATACATGCCAACACGTGTGTAAATCTCTCCACCTCCCTGTGATTGTATTGTCCCCTGGACATAGGAAGAATAACACCCATATCTGTGACAGATTATCATCTAGGGGAATGAGAGCTTAAGCATGTGGTCATCGTGATTTTTCAAAATACAGACTCTGTAATCAGAGAAACAGCAAATTGTTGATAAATGATGCTGGCAAAGGGTACTCTAGAACATGCCTCAGCTCGGAAACAAGGATTGCCTGCCCCCTTCTCTCTGTGAATTTATGCTAGATGTGAAACACAGCTCTGCCTTGATTTTTGAATACTCAGAAACAAAGATTTTGCTGTAGATTCCATTAAGTGCCATTACAGGATCCATGTGTCCTTCACAGAGATGCAAACACGTGCTATTCCATGGTCTCTAGTTCTGTGGGACTTTCCTGAAAGGGATCTTCAAGAAAGCACCGAGTATGTTAAAGCCACACTGATGACGGCCAGTTATTGTGAGCCATGAAAGGGTCTACTGAATGTGTAACAGAGATCTTCATTGCTGATGCCTCCACTCTGCCAAGCCAGGCACAGAGTCAGGGGAATCAGAAATGAAAGGAAGTGCATCATTCTTCTCAAAAATACATGTTCATGGCCGTAATGAAGTTTCAAAGTCTTTTTAGACAAAAAATGTGTATATTTTACAAAAAAAAGCATCTGTAAAAATTGATAATGTATGGAAAATAATGTATTAGGAAAAAAATCTATGTGCGGATTTCAAAAGCAGTAATTCAGAATGTTCATGGAAATATGGAATGAAAAGTACGAAGTCCTCATTGGAGGACAAGAGCTTTGTCAGCTCTGTGGATGAGGTCCCAACTCAAATGACAATGCTGACTCTCAGAGATGCCAACAACTTGGCGTGGAGCAGATAGGATTCAACACTACATTATCAGCATCTAAAATCTGATGTGTTCAGCTTCTTCATTATCTCCCCCTGCTCAGAAAGACTTAAGCAGAACTCCAGTGGTCTAAACTACAGGAAACTCTGAGGACCATTGGTAATCTCTTTCCAGTTCTGCAGTCAGAAATGGAAACCAATACCCCATTTTATGTCTCTGATTGAGAAGACAGGAGTGATTACAAGAGTGGTAGGAAGGAGGCAGAAGGGAAAGCCAGGTGTGGGGTCAGGAGAGGCATTTCCTCTGAGTTATCATGGGCTTGGGCTCCTATGATCTTAGCCTTTGAGCTCCACTACACTTCACCCATGACTGCCCACAATCATCAGAGAAGCCCATGGAAAGAGCACAGTGAACAGAAAGTGAAACTGCTGCTGGGGTTACCAGAGTGGCCATGTGTCCTGTGTCTGATTCAGATGTGGTTTCAGGGTCCGGTGCTGTGGTGTATTGTCTAAAGCTACAGCCTGCAGTCCTGGCATTCGATATGGGCAACAGTTCAAGTCCTGGCTGCTTTACTTCCAATCCATTTCCCTGGTAACGCACCTGGGAAAGCAACATAAGATGATCCAAGTCCTTGGGCTCCTGCACCCACAAGATAAACCTGGATGGAGTTCCTGGCTTCATCCTGACACAGCCCCAGCTGTTATGGCCATCTCAGGAGTGAACCAGTGGATGGAAGACCTTTCTCACTCTCTGCCTTTCCCTCTCTCTAACTTTCAAATAAAATAATTCTTTTTTTAAAAGATGTGGCCTCAGTTCATTGTACCTGATAACCAGATACAAGTCACAAAAATTTCCTGAGCTCCTCTGTGCAACAAAACTTGGGAGATTGTGCAGATGTAGTGAAACAGCCTACTTGCAACAGCTCAGAACCTGGCACTTAGGAAGCCCTTAGTAAATGCTCACAATGGCATCCTCATCATCACCTTTATGATCATGTTTCTGTGTGTTCAGAGGACAGTTTAGAGATGCATTTGCTGCTGTCATGAAGAGGATTCCAAAGGAGTAAGACTTAATACAGGAGGAAAGCCAAACTCTGAATGAGATATCTGGGACTCCTATGAGAAACAAGAACATAGACTTCACAGTCCTCTGGGATGAAGCTTTGCTTATTGGTTCCCTCCCACAAGTCTACGCCAACTCTCACTTTTCTTCTGATGAGGAGAAAACAATGTTCCTAAGAGTCCAACCTCCTTCCCTGCTATCCCTCAGCACTTACTGGGCTGCGCTGAGTCTCAACTGAAGCATGATCATGGGTGATGGCTCCACTGTTCCTCACCTTCCTGGAGTGCAATGGAGGGAGCCTCGGGCTCTGCACTCAGGACTGGAGACAGACTCAGGCAGGGGCCTCCTGGTGCAGATGCTCACAATGGGAGTGCAGCCACTATGTTTCCACCAGGAAGGCCAAGGTATGAATGTGCCAGCTCATTATTAGGACCTTGGATGCTCAATGCACAGAGCTCCCAATTAGCCAGCCAGTCCATGTTACCCTAGTCCCCAAGGAGTTGCCAATATTCATGGAAGAGGAATAGGAGAAAATAAGTGTACCTGGAACCTGTCCACAAGGAAGGTCACCTGTGCCCTTTGGTGCTGACATCCAAGTTGCAAAATCTTGACATAAAACTC